GACCGCTTTGTCACTGCTTTGAATGATGCGGCCGCTCCTAGTGCAGTCCGGCCTGAAAACCCCACGGCGAATGTCCTTGAAAACCCTTTCAAGAAGCAAGAGAGTAGGGGCTGCAGCATCTCTACCGTATGTCAACGGCATCTTGAAATCGCCTGTGTGATAACCCAGCAACAGGAGCTCATCTGGACTAGCGCCATACTTAGTTGCAAAACTGATGCATGTGCACTTGCAGGAGTGGCTGGAAACGCGGCGATCCTTCAACTGGTCCGTGCTACTAAAAAGAAGCAGCCTGATCCACGCGCCAGCCTCATCCGATTCCAAGCTCCTGACAGTGGGAGCTCCCCGTTGGTCCGGGGCCGGCATCACAGGTCCTTCAGGAGGGTCCGCCACTGAAAGGGCCCTCCTCGCTTGCACGTATTGCTCAACCCAGTTGCTCTCCACAACTCCCACAGCAGGTGCAACGATCGGCAACAGCTGCCCTCTCATGAGCTTGGCGCCCATTGTCTTGTGGACTCCCACACCAGCCTCGATAAAGGCTGCTGTGCCTGCAGAGTCACGATCCACGATGAGCGTCTCTGCGTGCTCAAGGTCCTCCCACCTGGTTCGCCCATAGACCGCCAACAGAACCGTGCCAGCCATGACACGATTCCAGGGCTCTGGGTCCCTCTCGAGAACCAGATGCAAACGTGACAGCTCATCCACTGAAAAAGGCGACGCCTGCTTGCGAGGACGAAAATCCTTCTGTCTCGCACTCCCGTGGCAACGCCGGCTCTCCCCCAAACTCTTGAGGTCCTGCATGCCCAAAACAAACCTCACAAAAGTGATAGCTTCAAGCAGAGACTTTCTGGAGGAAGCCGGCTTTCCCTCATCCCTCATCTGGCACAAGTACACATAGAAAGACTCTTCGGTACCCGGAAATTCCATTCCCTTGGACTTCAAGAAGCCATCATATCCAACAATGGATCTGTAACGCTTCCTCAAAGTAGCAGGGGCCTTGTGTCCCAGAAGGTCTTCAACCATCGAGCCACGGGACTCGGGAGCCAGCTGCATCAACTGATCGATGATCTCCAAGCTTCTAGGCCAGGTCTCCAGCATGGCTCCCCACAAGCACAAAACCTCTGACCTCTCTTTATCTCTCTTTTGTTTCCACCCAATCGCCTCACGATCTCTAACCGCGCGAAGATAAGAAGAAGACTGCACTGCACCAACAAAAGCCCCAGAAGACCTAGCAAGCTTTGTCTTGGGCTCCTCAGGAGATTCAACAAGAGGTGCATCAGGACGCTTGTAGCTCGTGCCATCCATGTCTTCGAAGGGATCTCGAGGCGGCCCGAAAATCTGTGACCAGAAGCCCTGCTCCCAACAATGCTTGATGCTAGATGCAGGCAAACTCTGATGAGCAAAGGCAACAGCTGCACCAACATCTACCGACCCTGTGGCAGGGGTAAAGGCGAGGCCAGAAGAAACAAATTCCTTACCATGCCCACCAGCTGCTGCTTGGCCGGCTGAGGAGCTAGCCTCTCCAGTACCCTGCTCTTATCCTTTCAGAGTGCAACCTTCCGACATGCTGTTAACCGCTCGTCGCAAAACAAAAGCGAAACCCAGCATAAAACAAAACAAACTTTCATGTTCGCGTAAAACAAAGTTTGTTTGAGGTTCAATGTTCCAGCACACATGTCAAGCAAACTGAACTCTCACACATGCGCACTGTCAGAACATGAACCATGCAAAGCTGTACGCACTCCTTCGTTTTCACTCCAGCAGACGGGGGAAGCGACGTCAGGGCGATGCACAGTCTTGGGCATCCTTCGATGCGAACGCACAGAGCGGTATGCACCCTTCGGTGCTCCCGCACTTGAGACCCTGTGGTCTCGAGCGCATCCTTTGAGATTTGTAGCATCACTCCACCTCCCCCCATCTTTAAGTGATGCTGTCATACACAGGCTGGACCATTCGGAAAAGATTGGCATACCGACTGAATTCAAGCCTCGATGCATCATCTGCGATGTTGCTCTTCGAGGGCACTCGCGAGTACCAGTTCAAGGAATGTGATGCCACATCCTGCTTTGCGACATCCATAAGGATGCTGGTAGCGTTGGCAACAGGCGTGAATGATCGGATGAGGCAGGCCCGAGCCGCTTCATTATCCAGGAAGAAAATGCACAAGCGGTTCCTAAGGACATGCTGCCACGTAGCCTTGGCAACGGCCACTGGCAACAACTCTGCAAAGAAGACAAGCTGCTTAAGGCCTTGACCTCGCCAACGTTGCACAAGATAATCCGGCATGCGCTCCCCAAAGAACTCTTGGACACCCGTAGCGGGATCCAAAAGGACTGCTCCGTGGGTAGTGAGAGCACCGTCCTTCTCACAAGCGCCGTCGGTGAAAACCAAGACAGGAGGAGCCTCGCCCCACCTAAGAACCTCGCGAGGACCGGCCTCGCTAAGGACTTCCAGAGCTAGCCTTGCCGC